ATGGATCACTTAACATAACACTTGATAGGAAAAATAACAGAAGTATATGAAAGTGAGACAAAAAAATAAGTATAGTAAAGTGCGATTTTGGCAAAACTTAAGGATAGTAAAGTAAAAATTATCAAAAAAATAAAAATAAAAATAAAAATCTATAGCGTCCAAATTATGGATGTCGTTAATGAAAGACTACCAATGGCATGCAATTTTGGTGCCCTAAAAAATATCGGGAATTTTTCGTTGAAGTTCTCTTTAATAAAACTGAAACTTTGATGAAAATAATATATGCTTGTATATCTATAGTCTATAATACAATGGATAATTCTTATTATAACACATAAAAATTACAACATCTAACCGTTATTGTGTGATTAATTCAAGAAGCTGTCACCACAGCATCCAATATCTTCTCGATCGCTACGGCAGTGGCGGGTAGTTTAGTCCTGATTTACGAAAGAAACCACCTTTTTCACTAAGTCCACAAAATTGTCACAACTTGGGTTGAACAAATGAAACACGTGGTCCTCCCCTTCACTCTCCACAATCTCAACCACCCCACCATACCCACTCTTCTTCAACGCCTCGTAGTATGCCCAACCCCTGTCCCTTAAGAAATCCTTCTCAGCCACAAAAACCAACACCCTCCCGCACCCAATCTCTCCCAATTTCGGATCGTTGCCCGGCCTCACCCTCGGGTCATCCGACCCACCACATGTCGGATAAATAACCTCCAACAACTTATCGGGCTCGTCATCCATGAAGTAGGGGTGAAACAAAATCATCCCCACTATCCTTGCCCCGGTCAACCCATCGAGCCCGGCCTGGCGCACCACGTTGTGCGTCAGAGTGGCGCCAGCGCTGTCACCACCTATAAAAACACGGTCAAAGTCAACGTGATCGTTGAGCCAGGCCTCAGGCCCGTTACCAGAGGAATAGGCCGCGGCCCATTGGACTGCATCTTAGGAGTCTTCAAAAGCAACGGGGAGTGGGTGCTCCGGGGCACGCCTGTAGTGCAACGACAAAGCCACGACGTTGGCTTCGGAAGCCAGTAACCCGACGTGGTTGTGGTAGAGAGGAGAGTAGGGGGACTCGATGACGAAAGCACCGCCGTGGATGAAAATAAGGAGAGGGAGTTTGCGGGTCGGGTCGGGAAGCTTGGGGAGGAAGACACGGGCAGAGAGCCCGGATTGTGGCGAGAGGACGATGTCTTTGGATTGGACCCCGGTTGTTGGGTCGGTGGAGGGTGGGACGGTTTCGGTGCCCTTGAGTCTCTCGGTTCGGCCGTCGTTATAGATTCGGAAAACGGTCGGGAACTCGAATGATACTTCGCTGGAGGGTTTAGAGTCCATCGGAGTCGTCGGAGATATTTTGTTTTGGTTTTTTCTTTTGGGTAAACTATTTTGTTTTTTTTTTTTTTTTGGGTAAACTATTTTGTTTTGTCTTGTATTTGGGACCGGGTTTTCGGGGTTTTTATGGAAGACAATGAAGTGAATGCTTTGTGACTTGTTGCGTAAGATAATAAAATGGAACAATACGTGGTTGGTTGAGAAGGTCTACAAATGGCGTTTTGCCAGCATATGGATGCAAATTTCGAAGAAGGATTGTCGGTTGGATTTTTTTTTGGGATCTTAGAAATCTAGTGACTATGATTGTTCATCGTATATCGTGCGGTCATAAAATTTTTTAAAATTTAAAATTTAAAATTAAATATAAATAGTACATAACCAAAACTAACCGCACGATATATAATGAACGATCATGATCTGGTTCCTTTTCTGCGAATTTCAACAATTTGCTTCTGTCGACCAATGATTTTCTGCCACATACACAAAGACAACGTTAGCTAGAATGAGGATCCTCTCCTGATCCTCTTTGTGAGCATCTTGGAGATTCTTAAATCGTGTCCGTTCATCGTACATCATGCGGTCAGTTTTTATTAGATACTATTCATATTTAATTTTAAATAAAAGTATTTAAAATGATTTATGGTCGCACGAAATACAATGAACGGACACGATTTGAAGATTCCCAGTGAGGATCCTCACTACATTAGTTGTACCACCTTTCTGCTCTGTATGCATTGTTGTTCGAAAATTAAGAGGAGCATGTGAGAAGTAGAAATTGACAAGTTGAAAGCACTATCTTGTTTTCTATTGCATTTGCATGTAATGTTTCTAATATGTTGGGTTTGGCTTAAGATCAACTTGAACCCAAAGCTCCACCAAAAATGAAAGGCCAAGACCAATGAGTAAATATGGAGGATGGTGATTGACATTTTTTTATAAACAATTTTTTTTTTTTTTAAGTTTAGGCTAGAGTTGTGTTTGGTAAATGAAAAAAAAAAAAAAAAAGTGTTTTTTTTTTTTTATCAAAATCATAAATTCAAAAAAGTATAAAGCAGAAGCAGCTAAAGTTGTGCTTGGTAAATGAAAAAAAAAAAAACAAGTGTTATTTTTTATCAACATCATAAATTCAAAAAAGTATAAAGCAGAAGCAGCTCTGCTTTTGAAAACAACACTTTTTGCACATCACACCAATTCCAAACTAACCCTTAAACTCTGGAAATGTTGAAAGGGTGTATGAATGACTCTTTATTTTGGGTTTAGAAAGAAATTAATTGTGAAGTAAGCCCTTTCTTTCTAATCAAATCGTCTATACCAGACGAGGCCTAAAAGGTTGAGAATATAATTTGCTATTGCTGATGGTTTTTTGGAGCTTGTGGAAGGTGCGGAACGACTTGATATGGAGAGGAGTTTAGGGTGCATTGAGGTGGTGCTGCGAGCAGAGGAGTGGATGGTTTCTTTCCAGCAGTTTCATAAACAACCAAAGGTATCGCGGTCTCATGACCGACAAAAATTGAGTCAATCACCCTCGGAGTGGTTAAAGTGTAATTTCGATGGTGCTTGGTCAAAAAACTCGAGTGTGGAGCCAAAAATAATCAAGAAAATTATAGAGGCGACACGCGAATTTTTGGGTAAAAAAGACAAGATTACTCTCGAGGCACACCAAGATTTCTACCCGCAAGGAAGGAAGGAGAAGAAGGGGTTTTGAGCAGTGACTTGCATCCAAGGATTGTGCAATCTGCCATTGGATTGTTGGAGCGTCTTGGGTTTTTTCTATCCTTAGTTTTAGTTTCAATGTTTATTTTAGATTGTTTTTTAACTATGACAAACATGTGGAACTAATTTCTTTTTAGCTAGAGGTGAATTCGAAGCCATGGACATATGTTTTATATGAATTGATTTCCTCCAATTATTGTTTCGTCAAACATGAATGCGATTTACTTATCTATTTGATTGATAACTTATTCTTGTATGTTGATTAAGGAGGCCTACTTAGTTTGCATGCATGAATTTGATGCTAAAATATAAGGGAATTTCACCTAATTGTTATGAACTTATATTTATAAGTAGTGGAAGTCACTAGTCATGATTATGTTAAGTAAATCCATGGCAGGACTATCATATTTTTCATAGTTACGAATGCTTTGTCAATGCTTATGATTTTCATAGAACTTAATGATCTGTGATATGTATCTCTATCATGCAGTTCATATAGGGAACTTGATAAGAATAATTTGATTGCGTCGCTGAGTCCAATTCAATGAAATTAGGAAACTCTTAAGAATTAATTTGTGCAGTTCACAATTAATTTGGGGCATTGTCATTCATGGTTTATTGGAATAATAATTGAAAATCAATTTGTGTGCATATGTGTCATGTGTGGAGAATGACCCTCTAGCTAGCCTATCACCCATCAATTCACCCAAATTCGTATCAATTTACTTTGTTTCTGTAACTTGTTTGTTTTAGTTTAAATTCGTCAAACAAACCCGCCATTTAGTATTTTGAGTCTACTTAGTTTAATTTTTGTCCAAATCACTCCTTAGTTCTTGTTTTGAGTCAATTTGCTTGGTTTGTGCTGTTTGAGTTAGTTTAGCTTGTTTTGAGTTATTTGAGTCAGTTTAAGTTTAGTTTTCTGTTTTTGAGTCTAGTTTAGTGATTTAGAGTTTAATTTGTGTAGATTAGCAGTCCCTCCTAATCCCCGGCCTAGAACGATCTCAACTTTCACATACTACAACTATCAAAAAGAGGGTTTAATTTGTGTGCTATTTTATATCACATCAGGTTCTTCAGCCAAAGTCCCCCCCTAATTCATCATGGGCGTGTGAGACTCTTGGCCTTAACCTAAGATGTTATTTGTTTTGTAGGTGCAATTTTGTCCAATAAGAAGAAGACAAAAATTTGCATCCACATCGAGCATGGGTGGTGTTAGAGCCGTCATTCGGATCACAACGGAAATTTTTTTAGTTGGGCTCTCGGCTTCTGTTGATCACGCTACATCTCCTTTTCAGGTGGAATTCTTGGCAGCTGGAAGGGCTGTAATGTTCGTGTTGGAACTATTTCTAGATGGGAGGCCTTTTTGTTTTGAAGATTCTGCAATAGCTTTGGCAGCTATGCAACGTCGAGGTGTAGATACATCAAACATGGGGCCTCTAATTAATGACATCAATAATTTTCTAGGTTCCTTTCATCTAACAATGTTATTGCATGTTTGTCGGGATGCAAATCGGGTAGCAGATAGACTAACGCGTGCTGGACTTGGATGTGCGGCTGAGATGGTTTGGTGTGGATACCCACCAATTCTAGTCTAAGATGCTTTAACTGAGGATGTTTCTTAATTAATTTTTTATGATTGTATTGTTTGGAGGATGGTTATATTGTTAATTATGCGGGGCATTCTTTTTCTTTTGTCCAAATTGAAAATTTCGGCAAGGTTTTATCAAGGTTTATAATGCATTCCAACTTTCATATTGATGTACGTATTTCTCTTATTTTAATAAATATCGTATTTCTTTTCAAAAAAAAGAAAAAGAGGTAAAGATTACGTATTTCTCTTATTTTAATAAATATCATACTTCTTTTCAAAAAATAAATAAAATAAAATAAAGATTAGACTTTACCTCCTATTTTTGTATCTTTCTTTGATTTTTTTAAACATTGATTACACTTTCAATGCATTACCTTTGACGTTTAACTTGCGCGGACGACGTTAATCTCTCCTATGATCATTCTGCTTCTTACAGAACAGAGGAGCAACTATCGTGACACGAAGACCGAGATGGAGCAGTTCAAAGGCCATTCGCGGCTTCCGAAATTCGCCGTGCCAAAGCGATACTCCATACGGCTGAAACCCGACCTCATCGCTTGCAAATTCGCCGGCTCCGTCGCCATCGACCTCGATATCGTCTCCGATACTCGATTCATCGCCCTCAACGCTGCCGAGCTCGCCGTCGATGCCGCTTCCGTCTCTTTCACTCACTCTTCCAAGGTACTACCACTGATCATCGGTGCACTTATTATTTGCCTCAATTCAGACAATTTTTTTTATCGTTTTTAGCTTGGATGATTTGGTACTTGACACTCATCGATTTTTAAGGTGATTTTTCTCGGAAGCACTTATCCCATAAGTGATTAATCAATCCTTGATTAGTGATTTTGCTGCCTTGTTTGGTTGCTGCTTAATTAGAAACCTGTAGGAAAAGGAAAGATGGATTGGAAAATAGCTATCTCATTTAATTTAATTTGAAAGTCCTAATAAGTTTATCTGATTGTTTCAGCTGTACCAAAATAGTGTTAAAAGTAACTCATACAATGAGTAAATGACTGTTTGAGCAGGTCTTTAAGCCTTCAAAAGTTGAGATATTCAACGAAGACGGGGTTTTGGTTTTGGAGTTTGGAGAGACACTTCCGATTGGTTTGGGAGTTTTGGCTATTGGGTTTGAAGGTATTTTGAATGACAAGATTAAGGGATTTTTTAGAAGGTAAGGACGTTCTTTGAATTCCGGATTTGTTATACAGTCTGTATAGCTTCTTTTCATCTATTAATGTGCCTATTATACTTCAATGGTGCAGTACATATGAGCATAACAGTGAGAAGAAAAATATGGCAGCTACGCAGTTTGAACCAGTTGATGCCAGGCGGTGCTTTCCATGTTGGGATGAACCTGCTTGGAAGGTCTCTCACTTGCGTACACAGTAGAATAAAAATATTGATTTACATTTGTATATAGTTACTTTGTTAAATCGATTCTGGATACTAAACATGGCTTCTAACTGCAGCTTTGAGTTTAGGAGGAAACAGATATGTTGTTTATGTGATGGTAGTATGGATAAGAAATCAATCCTTTAGTTCTGGTTAAATTGTTTAACTTTGAGGGTCTGCTGCATTCACCCCATTTATTCTTACTGGAACTTTGATTGACAGGCTACATTCAAGATTATATTGGATGATGTTCCGTCCGAATTAGTAGCTCTTTCCAACATGCCGGTTTTAGAAGAAAAAGTGGATGGACATATGAAGACAGTTACATATCAAGAATCACCAATCATGTCTACATATTTGGTGGCCATAGTTGTTGGGTTGTTTGATTATATTGAAGATCATACTTCTGATGGTAAAATCATTGACAATCTCTTGTTGTGTGTGTATTTAGTGCAACCGCAACCCTTTCTTGATGGTGCCACATTTTATCTCGTTGTAGGGGTCATAGTGCGGGTATATTGTCAAGTTGGCAAGGCAGACCAAGGGAAGTTTGCTTTGGACCTTGCTGTCAGGACTCTTGAATTTTACAAAGAGTATGTTTATTGATCACAAAATTACTAATCATTCATATTCGAATTTGCAATTACACTTAATGCCTGTTATGGACTATATCTAGTTTCTTTCCCTCCCATTCCTACGATGTGTTGTTTAACACTCAATATGAAATCAATAACGAAAAAGTTTTACAGTTATTTTTCTATGCCGTACTCTTTGCCCAAATTGGATATGGTTGCAATTCCTGATTTTCATGGGGCCATGGAGAATTATGGTTTAGTTACGTACCAAGAATCAGCTTTGCTCTTTGATGAACAAAATTCTGCAGCTGCCAACAAGCAAATGGTAACTCTAACTTTCAGCATTTAGCTTGGTTCATATGATATGTAGTTATTTATTTATTGGACAGTTCTATTCACACACCTGGTTTTACCTCCCACACACCCTTGTTAATTTTTGGCCATCAATCTTCGTCAATTCATTTGATCCGAAGGCCGAAAGTTGAAAGGTGTGTGTGAGAAGTAAAAATGGGCCCGTTGATAGCCCTACCCTATTGATTTATTTAAAACCCAAATGAAATGTATATATGAATATACATTTCTTTTTTGCTTTTGAAAGGTTTCAACTGTTGTGACACATGAATTGGCACACCAGTGGTTTGGCAATCTTGTAACGATGGAATGGTGGACACACTTATGGCTGAACGAGGGATTTGCAACATGGGTATTACTTAACTTCATTTGTTGTACTTGTTATTTTACATGCTTTGGACTTTAATTAAGTATTTTAAACGTCATTAGGTGAGCTATTTAGTTACTGATAGCTTGTTCCCAGAGTGGAAAGTATGGACTCAGTTTGTTGATGAAAGTGCTGGGGGTCTTAAGCTGGATGGGCTTGAAGAATCTCACCCCATCGAGGTACTTTTACGTATGTCTTTCGTGCATGACAGGCTTTAAATAGTAGTATTCATCACCATACTTTCAGCACACTATTTAATGAAGGGTATAAGCATACATGTGTTCAGGTAACTGGTATATTATGTTTTAATCTTGGGTCTTTTGGCCAGGTAGAGATCAATCATGCTGCTGAGGTTGTTGAAATATTTGATTCAATAAGTTATAGAAAAGGAGCTTCTATTATTCGGATGCTACAAAGCTATCTTGGTGCGGAATACTTCCAGGTAGGTTCTTTGATTTTTTTTTTTTTTTTTTTTTTTTTTTTTTTTAGGTTTCATACAATACGAGAAAGGTTTTTGATGTGTGTCTCTATTCTTCAATTGAACTTTTGAACTTTGATTAATTGCATGTTATTTTTTAATGCATCCAGAAGTCACTTGCTTCATACATAAGAAAGCATGCTTCCTCAAATACAATCACAGAAGATTTATGGGCTGCCCTTGAGGAGATATCTGGTGAACCTGTGAACAAGCTAATGAATTCATGGACTCAGCAAATGGGTTACCCTGTTATTTCTGTCAAAGTGAAAGATCAGAAATTGCAATTTGACCAGGTTTCTTGTGTTGCCTCCTTGAAAATTTTGTTTGATTGTCAAAATTTTAAATTACATCTTGGAGCTCAGATGCATATTGTTAAGCCTTATTCTGTGGTACATGGAAAATTCTAATAAGTAAATTAATAAACGGCAGACACAATTCTACTTGAGTGGTTCCCAAGGTGATGGGCAATGGATTGTGCCGATAACATTATGCTGTGGCTCATATGATGTGCACAAGAGTTTCCTACTACGAAACAAGTCTGAAAGTCTCGACCTAAAAGAATTTCTGGGCTGCTCCCTAGCAGAGAATGTATGTAGAAGTGCAAGCAATAAAAACAATGCCTTGTACAGTTGGATCAAAGTCAACTTGGATCAGACTGGTTTTTACAGGGTGATATATTCAGATGAACTTTTAGCTGCACTTAGAAATGTTATAGAAAAGAAAGACTTGTCTGCAACTGACAGATACGGTAATCATCTTTTTATGCACACTCACACACACACACACACACAAACTTGCATCTCTATGATAGTGAAAAATGGAAATATTTAGTTTATATCATTTTGTTTCCTTCAACAGGAATCTTGGATGATTCGTTTGCCCTTTCTATGGCTCGCCAGCAGTCTTTTGCTTCATTGCTTACGTTGTTGGGTGCTTACAGAGAGGAACTTGACTATACAGTGCTGTCAAATTTGATTGCCGTAATGATCACCTATGCTCTGTGTTTAGGTTATTGTGGATGTGGTTTGAGTCTGACTCTGATCTTCACTTCTCAGATATGTTATAAGCTGGCAAGAATTGCGGCTGATGCTGTACCCGAGCTACTGAATCTCATAAAACAATCGTTTATTAGCCTTTTCCAGTACTCTGCAGAGTAAGCTTGTTCTTTTTTTTTTAACTACGCAAGTACCAAACTGTCCACTAAATTTGCTTCCTTTTTTTCTTTCTTTCTATTTATTTTGTTAACAGTTTATATGTATGTTGAATTTATCTACAGAAAGCTTGGTTGGGAGCCTAAACCTGGTGAGAGCCATTTAGATTCAATGCTAAGAGGAGAAATTTTAACTGCCCTTGCTGTGTTTGGACATGACCCAACAATTAATGAAGCAAGTAGACGTTTTCGTGAATTCTTAGATAACCGAAATACGCCAATCCTTCCTCCCGACATAAGAAAGGTTGTTTTGGATGTAAACCATTAATTAAACACTATATTCAAGCTTTTGACTTTCCTCTTGATGTTCATGATTAACTATTGTTTCAGGCAGTGTATGTGGCGGTAATGCAAAGAGTAAGCATGTCTAACAGATGGGGCTACGAATCTCTTCTTAGAGTTTACAGAGAGGCTGATCTAAGCGAGGAGAAAAACCGCATTTTAAGTAACTACTAATTCATTTGTACAATTAAGGATGCTGATCTAACATCTGAGATTGTTAATTTGTTATGTCATGGGAATAAGATATCTCTCTATGCCTGTAGAATCATTAGCATCTTGTCCAGATCCGAGCATAGTACTGGAAGTTCTCAACCTTTTATTGTCTTCTGAGGTATCCGATTTTACTTATGTCTTATATTTGCTGGTCGAAATTTTGTAATTATAAGTACATAATTATTAGAGCATCTCAAAGAAATTTCAAGCAATCGGCATCTATATTTATAGGTCCGCCTTCAGGATGCTGCCCGTGGGCTATCTTCTGTTAGTAGTGAAGGACGGGAAACAGCTTTGACGTGGTTGAAGGTAATTCTGAAGCACTAGTTTCTGAAGAGCACCTTATGAAATGTATTTCTATTCTTTCCCTACTTTTGTTAATACGATTCATTTTGCCTTTTGGATGATATCCAAAATACAGGATAACTGGGAGCACATCTCTAAGACCTGGGGTTCTGGATTTGTAATTGCCAGCTTTGTCAGTGCAGTTATTTCACCGGTTCGTTCTGGCCTTTCAGACCCTTTATTTATTTCTTTTTTTTTTTTGTGTAATTTTAATCTGTGATTACACAAGCAATATAAATTAGCTACATAATACCTTTCCATTCCTTCTTTTCTTATACCTTCATGCCCATTCGGCGTTACCTTCCTTTGCAGTTGGCTTCATTTGAAAAGGTTAAGGAAGTAGATGAGTTCTTTAAGGTTCATCCCACCCCCTCGATAACCAGAACCTTGAAGCAGAGCATGGAGCGTGTGCAGATTAACGCCAAGTGGGTTCAGAGTATTCAGGGTGAGACAGATCTTGCCGATGTTTTGAACGAGTTGGCATACAGGAAAGACTAGCTAGCCTTGTAATCATGCTGGAAGCATTCATGGAATGCAATTCTTTGCCTTCTGGTTCGTTGATAAGTTCATCTGTAAAATATGTAATGATTGAAAATACACACCAAATGATTTCCAAATCGAAACCCAAAACTTTGAATACATCGCAAGAGTGATCGAGGAGCATTCGAGTTAGTTTTACAAAATAGTACATCAATGACATTTGATTCTGAAGTTGAAAATACACACCAAATGTTTGGGACAGAAATGTGTGACACTAGAAGATGTCAATGAGCTACTTGGAAGTGTTGGTGACAAGTGACAAATTGGACAGTATCATTTAGGTGTTACCAGAAAAACTGTCCGCACTCTGCTGTGGGTTTTCAAACTATAATCGACAACAGCCATGAGCAGAGCCTTAGGATGTAAATCTTTGTATTTACCGACTCAAGTGCTCGAGCAGCAGTTACTGTTACAAAAATTAGTCCAACCTTCAGAACAATATAAGAAATCAGCACATTGCAGGTTATGAGAAAGCTAAGGTACCATCAATAGAAGGAGCTGATTCCTACGCTTGAAAAGCTTCACATGCTTTAGATATTTCTGTTATAACATCCCTCATATGCGGTTGCAGAATGTTTGATTCTTGACGATCGCAAAATGTATTGCAAACCTGCATCAAGTGTAATAAATTTATAACTACCTACCAAACCTTGGGTTTAAAATGAACAGTAAATTGTAGCATTGGTCCTTCAATTTTAATCAAATTGGAGCAATGGTCCCTTAACTAAAAATTAATTACCATTGGTCCTTCGACTCATTAAAATGTGTAGCTATAATCATTTTCGTCAACTTCAATATAAATTGTCAAAATAAGTTATGTTGGAACGACCATTGCTACAATTGTGATCCCTCATTGATAGGAGCATATTTATGCAACTTAGTTAGCTTGTCTTCTTACATTTATGTTGTTAGTTCCTAGTTATTTTAGTATTTTGAGCTATTTTCGTGTGTTTGTAGGTCCAATTGGCTAAAGTGGCAAGAAAGTGCAATTTGGAGCATTTTGGAGCAGTTTTGGGCTTGGAATGGTTAGCACATGCTTGGAGCAAGGTGGATGGACGAAATTGAAGACCAAAGAAGGCTAGGAATCTGCTAAAGAGATGGAAGAAATTAATTCAAGACTTGGAAGAAAAGGAATCAGCTACAAAGAAGGAAACATGAGTCAAACTTCCTTATTTTGACTTAGTCAATCCTAATCTTTCCTACTTAATTTCTAGCTGTTAAGGGGGGTTCCTAATTGATTTGGGACACTTAAATATGTTTTCTAGAAGCCTTAAACCCAGCCAAAGGGTCCTTGCCGCACAAACTCTCCCTTTCCCTTTCCTTGTCGTGCAAGGCAACACTTTTCCCCTTCCTGTTTCCTATTTTCTGTCCTTGCCGCAAGTTTCCTTCTCTTTTCCCCTTGGGATTCTGATTTGTTACCCTTTTCTTGGAGGATTTGGAGTCTTAAAACCTTCCCTAATTAATTAATTACTGCCTTGCCCTTTATCCCTTTATTTTTACATAATCTACCGCACAAAAGAGGACAATTCATCATTCACCTATTCAACCATCCCTCCACCACAATTCCACAACCTCCCTTCACCATTCAATCATCCATCACACAGCCGCACCATACATTCACCCATTCACCCTTGTGCCGGAGCAAAGAAGAAGGGGAGAAGACTCCTTGGACGTTTTGGCCATTCAAGTTGGATTGTTAGAGCGTTTCTAGGTGTATTCAATCTTTGTTTTCAATGTTTAAATTAAGTTTTCTTTGTTTTGCTGTGAAAATGAGAGGCTAAACTCATTTTAGCTAGAGGAGAATTCAAAACCATAATTATATTTGCAATATGAATTGATTACTTCCAGTTGTGATTTCATAAATCGTGAATGCAATTTGCTTAACTGTTGGGATTAAGAACTTATTCTTGTACGTTGATTAAGGGTGCACACTTAGTTTGCATGCATGAATTTGATGCTAGAATATAAGGGAGTTTCACATAATCGTTATGAACTTATATTCACAAGTAGTGAAGGTCACTGGTCACGATCGTGTTAAGTTGAATTCCTGACATGAGTATCATGATCTTGTCAATGCTTATGATTTTCACAATGCTTAATGATCTTTGATTGTATCTCTATTATGTTGTTCATGTAGGGAATTATTGAAGAATAATTTGGTTGCCAATGCGTTGTCCGTCCAATTCAATGACTTAAGGAAAATCTGAGGGTTAATTAGTGATGTCACGGTTAATCTGGGGTGTTGAGGTTCATGGTTTATTGGAAAAGCAACTGGAAATCAATTTGTATGCTAGTGTGTCATGTGTGGAGAAGGATCCTCTAGCTAGCTTATCACCCATTAATTCACCCAATTTTGTACTAAACTTAGTTTGTTTCTGCAATTTACTTGTTTTTACTTTAAATTCGTCAAAAACCCAATCCCCTTTACTTTGTTGTGTCAAATTAGTTAGAATATGTCCTAAAGTGTGTTTTTAAGTGTTTTGAGTCAAAACCAATTCAATTTTTGTCCAAAGTAAGTCCTAGAGTCTGTTTTGAGTCTTTTTGGTTGTTTTGTGCTGTTTTGAGTCTTTTTAGTTTGTTTTGAGTTCTTTGAGTCTAGTTAAGTGTTTTTAAGCCTAGTTTTGTGTTTTTAAGTCAATTTAGAATAGATTAGCAATCCCTCATAATCTCCGGTCTAGAACGATCTCTACTTACATCTTTACCACAATTGTCAATAAGAGGGTTTAATTTGTGTACTAGTTTATATCACATCACTCAGCTCATCAAAACGTATAGTTATGGTCCTTTTCGTCAACTTCGTCATAATTTTGTCAAAATAAGTTATGTTCGAATGACCATTACTACAATTAGGTTGAATGCAATTTGGCATGAGCTGAAGCTAAATTTTGATATGAAGCATATAATTACTGATAAAACTAAAATATATTTTGACATTTTATATTGGAGTAGCAAGGATAAAACTATGATGTTTATGCTGGTTGCTTAAATAAACAGAAGTAGTTGAAAGATGCTGGTTGCTTAAATAACCAAAAGTAGTTGAAAAATGTTAAAATATATTTTAACATTTTCAACGAAATTATTTCTTGATAATTTGCGAGGTACAGGTTATCCTTGGAATCCTTCTTATAAGAAATTCAATTGAGTTATAGGTGCACTCTACGTTGATGGAATTTCGTATGTATGTTCAAGGGGAACCTTAATGTCTTAGTGCCCTTATATCATTGAATTTTCTTTTCAAAATTACATCTCATTCAATCATGTTCCATTTTATTACTATTTGTATAACTTTGCCATCTTTTATGACGCCCCATGCTCATTCGATACTCTTATTTGAGTTTATATTGCTACGCAACACCTACACTTGTGTTTCGTGAACTTCTATTCTTTACATTTTTCCTTCAGGAGTATGTTAGAGGTATAGAAGGACGAGAAAAATTTCTCCAATTGAAATTCAATCGGATTCTATAAACTTCAAAATTATATCTATTCATAGACATAAAGGTTTCAATCATGTTTTGGTTCAAGCAATATCGTCTTTCATTATTGAATGGTCCGTAGAACGAGTCAAAAAGTCATGGAATTCTCTTTAGCAATGTACTTCTATTTCTAATGCTTCAGGCATAAGTTTTTGAATGAAGATAATGGTGGAAGCTTTTTTTAGCTTTATTTATGTCATTGTTGGATTCAATGGTTTCTCAGCTTCTGGATAGTCAAGTGGAGCTTCATGCTTTGTACCCACATAAATTAGTTTATGTAAGAAACTTCCATGTCAGCGAAATTGAACTTGTGACAGTCCGACAGTCCAGTGAATACAAGATTCTGTTTGGTGCTATGGGAAATAGAAACCTCCATAAGCATCAAAGTTGGAATGTTTAGGTTCCAAAACATGGTTTGGTTTAATTTGCATGAAAAACTTCAGGTTTTACATGGATGTATTGTTTTATGAAAATGTCAGGTTTCAAAGGCACTAATTCGAAACTTAGGTTTCGATTGATATGAACTTCCAATTTAAAAAAAAATGTACCTGCAAGAACACATGATACAATATACAACTAGCGTAGTGAATTTGAGTTGCTTTAGAGATCAATATGAGTAGCTCTGGGACTACAAAAAGATGTCAACGGTAAAATAAAAAAATAAAATATTGGATCGTAATTTATGGAAAGTGGATTGCGGGGAAAAAGTATATTTTTTTTGTCGGATTTATGAACAGCAGGTCACTAAATTAATCCAATAGACAGAGTCTAAACAAGGTTAGTTGTTGAAGTGTGGAAACAAGAAAACTAGTAGTTTAGGCCCATATTTGGGTTGGGTGGCTGCGAGCCAAGCATAGAGAAGCCCATATTTGACCTTGGCCCGAGAGGAAGAACACGTTAAAGAGAATTTTGCGAATAAATTGTCCTTTCATCATCTTTCAGTTGATAAAAAGAATTTTGTTAAGAGTAATGCTAAGAATATTAAATTTGCAAACTAAATAATATTCTATTAATAAGAAATAAACATGATAATCAAAAATTTGCAAAATTTGATTTATAAACATAATTTAAATTAAATTAAAATCTAAATGATATTTTTTACATTATCTTTGTTAATAGGTGGTTTAGATTAAATGGAAAAAAACCAAAACTTTTAATTAACTTGAATAATAATTGAAGACATTTTCCGGTCGGGAAACGGCACCAACGGGCAACTAAAAGGAAATCGTCAAACATTAATGTCGTTCTCTTTCCTTAATTAATGGGCCCAGAAGATCAAGCAAACGACGCCGTTTCCACCGTCTACTGCAGAAAAGTACCAACAGGTCGAGAAACGATTCGGTGAACAGAAAATCTCTGCAAAAATTCGAAAAGGCAAAAAAGAAACATACACACGAAAAAGCAGAGCAAGAGAGCGTGCAAGTGCAACGGGTCTCTGAGAGGCATCGAATCATAGTGTTCTTCACGAGAAAAAACTCCAACCCCATTAAAATCTACAGATTTTACTCTCTCTCCTCCTTTCCTTTTTTTGTTTGTGGGTTTTTGAATTAATGGCTGTTGTGGGTTTTTGAGAAAAGTAAAGCAGGAGGAGGAATGCTTGCCTTTTGAGCTCCCATTACAATGGCTGAGAATCCCTGTTCCTTCAAGGTTTGCTTTTTCCGGCTCCTCCTTTCAAATTTTAACTGGTTTTTTCTTTTTTCCCCTGGAACTTTAATTTTTTTGGGGTATTAGATTCTGTCCCTTTTGATTATTTTTAGGGGTTGCATGTGAATTTCCCGATCTGGGTGTTGAAATTTTTGACACTTTGTTATCCTTATTTATTGGTTGCTTTTGGTCTGTGTATTCAAGCTCAGGCAAACCCAAATTTCCTTTTTAAATAGGAAAAGGGGTCTTAATCACACTATTATTTTACTTAATCACTGAATTAATAGCTCAATAATGTCAATTTATGAATCCTGGGAATTTTTTTGGATCATTCCATTCATACCCATGTCGTTTGTTCATCAGATTGACTCAAAAGTTTGAAACTTTTTTAGGATTAATTACCCTTGTCATGTCTTTAGTTTTAGGATTAATCTTAATTACACTATTGTTGTTTTACTTAACGACCGTGATTTAACTGCTTAGTCATGTGAATTTATGAATCCTGGATTTTTTTGGATCATGGCAATGATACCCATGTCATTTGTTCGTCCTGCCGACTTTACTGTTTATAAACTTCTGGGTAGCTCGATGTCGATCAGATTGACTTGTAAAGTTTGGACCTTTATTAGGACTAATTACCCATGCCGTTTTTATAATTTATTATTCAACCTTCGTTTTGCATTGCCTAATGCATGGAGTGCAGGATATATTTTTAATAAAGGCGCCAAAGAAATCTCCATTGGTGCTGCGGATGATTGTCGTGCTGTTTGCAATGGTCTGTGGTGTCTATATTTGCTCAATTTGTTTAAAGCAAGTCAGCACCCGCACCAAGTCCGGATTTTCAAGTGTTCAGGTGATTCAAAGGCCTTGTCCACATCCTGATGTTGAGCCGGAGGAATTTCGTTATATGCACTACCCAAAGCCCAATACTTATAGCAGGTATGCTACTGATCTGTTGGAGTTTCAAGTTTGGGTTCCATTTGAAATGCAATGATTTAGATTTTATTTTTTTGTGGATAATAGGGCTGAGTGTGCGTGCAATCCTGTGCGATATTTCGCAATTTTGTCGATGCAGAGATCTGGGAGTGGGTGGTTTGAGACGCTATTGAATAATCATACTAACATAAGCTCAAATGGGGAGATTTTCTCTGTGAAAGTTAGGAGAAGTAATATTTCAACAATCGTTGAGACTTTGGACAAACTTTATAATCTAGATTGGTTGAGTAGTGCCTCAAAGAATGAATGCACCGCTGCAGTTGGCTTGAAGTGGATGCTTAATCAGGTCGGTGCTTTTTCATGCATTTTTTTTCAGTTTTTTATTTTTATTTTTTGTTTCTGTTAATTAGCTATTTGGTGGGTTTGTTGAGTGAGAGACAATGGCATTTCAGTTCAGTATGTTTCACTCATTTTCGACAGGAAGTTTTCAGCCTAGCTTGTTGTTTTTGACAGCCAGTTATTATTAGTAAAAGTAACACCAAGGACTCAATTGCCCTATCATCTACCTATTTCGTAAGTTATTACAGTTACAGATACTATAGTAAAATGTATAGCAAGTCCTTCCAGGAAGCTTGTGTTATAGTTTTGATATTAAATGCATATTCGTGGAGAGTGGTCAAGGGTATGTAGGATTGGATAGGGTAGTTTCTTTATGATCTTCTAGGGTCATCGATGATCGGGAAGTATGATGCTCTTAATGATGATCATGCACGTATTTCATGTGTATCTCACCGGTGGCTAGTAGGACGGGTTTAGAGATGGCTGAAATTAGACGGTGCAATTTTCTGGATAACTGGTAAGCTTGAAGTTTGCTTAAATGTGTACTCTCTACAAATTTTCTGCGCTGCTGCTAAGCTTGAACTTTATATGCTAAATGTGTAGCACTTCAGAGTTACGTTGCTTCCACGAAATTTATACGTCAGAAGAAGTTGATGTTAATGGTACTCAATGCTTCGTTTAGATTATGTATAGATGCATGAATGCTCAACACTTGTATTTTAGAGAGGTAGGCAGCCCTATTATCATCATAAACTGCCTGTCCTGACTGCAACCGATGTGCCTATTAGGAAGCCAGCCTTCAAGTAACCTAGTTTGGGTTATCAAAGGGATGATACAATTTAAATTAGCAAGAAGCTTACAGATTTCATGGCAACTGATGGATCTAGATATTGTTCATCACATTGTTCCATTTCATTGAGAGAAGCATGCCCTCCAAGTAATGACAATCTTTTGTTTGGAAGTGTAGGACCATCTCACTGTAACCGAAGAATTATTGTTAGCAAAGGTGGTTGAGCTGAGTAACATTTCAAGCTTGCTTGGTATGATAGTTACATGGATGCAAGTCTTGGTCGGAAAGAAATTTGATACGAACTGGGATTTGGGTTAAGTTACAATGTCCATTTTGTAATTTAATTTGGTCCATTGAAATGTCCATCCAAATTTGTTTGTCATTAGCAATTGGCCTGAAACTCATTATTTATCTTTACTTTTGTATTCGATTCCTTGTTCTAGGTAGAATTTGACGCGTAAGTTAGCTCATGAGATAATTTATTGTGTTTTTCTCTGCTTTTTTTTGTTTTATGCACGGACCAGCGAATTAATATTGCAACAATTTATGCAGGGCTTGATGCAGCATCATGAAGAAATAGTAGAGTACTTCAATACACGAGGTGTTTCTGCTATCTTTCTCTTTCGGAGAAACCTGTTACGGAGGATGATCTCTGTGCTTGCAAACTTGTATGACCGAGATAATAAGCTGCTGAATGGGACCCACAAGTCTCATGTTCATTCTCCTCACGAGGTCTGTCTCTCCCTCCTTCGTATGCATGCTTTCTACGTAAATGTCAATTGCTTGTTTCTTTATGACTTGACATACAGACTTATAACATGTTCTGGGTGCAGGCAGAGATACTTGCAAAATACAAGCCTATAATCAATGCAACTTTGCTGATACCCAACCTGAAGCAAGTAGAGGATACAAGTACTAAAGCTTTGGAATATTTGAAGAGCACCCGACATATTATCCTATTCTATGAGGATATCGTAAAAAACCGCACTGTAAGAGAACCATATGAACACTAAACTGATATTTCCTCTTGTTGTTTGCGATAAATTATTATGTGTGTGCCAGTATTTTTGTCAGCGCCCCGATAAAAGGGTAGAAAAGAAAGAATACCAACCTCTGAAAGTTTCAATTTTGTATGTTCGCAGAAATTGCTTGACGTTCAAGATTTTCTCAAGGTTCCAAAAAGGGATTTAAAGAGTCGCCAGGTGAAGATACACAAAGGTAACTTATCTAGTCAGATTGAGAATTGGGGTGATGTCCAAAAGACACTTGCGGGAACACAGTATGAAAGGTTCCTCAGTGTGGATTATCGAAGAAGGTAAACAGCAGTGAGGCGATGTATATACGCTTTATTCTTTTAACATTTTTGTTTTCATCTTTCGTCTTCAACCGCAGAAGCCAACAGGTTACGCCTCCCTGTTGAAATTTTGGGAAATTTTGGATGCAGCTTCTAAATTTTGGTTATAGCTTCTGTCAGTCGATTTTTGTTTCTTCTTTGCCACTCGCTTAATATTCAATTGATTCTTTATCCTCTCCTTGTTTACGAGAAATATTGTTGTTGTATTTGAGCTAAATCAATAGAAAAAGTTGCAGTTTCACCTTGCAATTGTTTTGTCTGTGTACTTCATTTTCTTTATGAAACCATATGGAAATCTTTGAAAATTTAAAAGTGCAGTTTGTAGTACAGATCGCCGGCCGCCTGAGTCAGTGAGTCGCCATGGAGGGAGCCTCACGCTGTGGTGGTTCTCTTGCAACTTTAAGGGGTGCCAAAACCAAATGGATACAATGTTTTAGCCTATTGGGGGCTCGGTTGATGAGAACTTGCATTCAACTGGGATTGCTAAAATGACAATATCTCAAGCTAATCACGTGACGTCATGTAAGAAAATTATAACACATGATGGATGGATGGCCTCACTTGGCAGTTTAGAATACTGTAGAATTGGCATTTCAGTTGTGCGTAAGTTTCTTAAAAGGGAGAAGAGTAAATTGCTCATATCTCGCTTTTGAACTTTCACCTAACTTTCAATTTACCCCCTAAACTTTTAAATTGGAAAATCAAGAACTAAAACTAATTTTTTTGGCTGATTTATCCTATCTTTAGTTTTTCATAAATTTCATCCAAATTAATTTTAACTCTTATCACATGCACACCACGTGACTCTTCTTTGAGAACAAAAACGTCAATTTGCTAAAATTTTAGACACAAAAGCTATAGAATTACACAGATTTGCACGGGTCGACATTTTAGAAATTTAAGGTTTTCAATTATTTTAAAGAACGAAGCGACCAAATTACCCTTATATGTTGTGCTTATGTTTTCATTTAACAAAAAATTGGTGGAATAAATGAAAAACTAACAACAAGGAAAATCGGCAAAATATTAGTGAAGTCCTTAATTTTTAATTAAAACAATTAGAGGGAAATCAAAAGCTAAGTTGAAATTTAGAGATGAAATCAGCAGTTTAGGGTAACTTGTGTTTGTTTTACAAATGTACTAGCCTTCATGAGCACGTGCAGAAGACATATTTTGAATCAAAGCGTGCTACGCGTGACTTACACGTTTTAAATGTATTTATATGCGTAAATTGACAAAAGGAAAGTCAAATATTTTAAGTAAATGAATAATTTTAGATCATGCTAGAAGAAACTCTTCATAAACCAATAAAAGCAGCTGAATTCACATAATAAAATCGGTTTTTATAGCATTTTCATTAAGAATAAAGAAAATAATATTTAATAAACAATTGATTGAATCATATTATTGCTAGTCTATTGTGAGGTTAAGCTCACTCTCCCTCTTAGTGTAGATAATATTATTTGTTCAAAAAAAAAAAAAAAACCAATCATTTGATAATTAATTTAATCATATTATTATCCGGGTGCGAAAGACCTTTTTTTATAACTGGCATTACACGTCTTTTAAGATGTTTTGAATGTGTTTAAAAATAGAGAAAATAATATTTAATAAATGACCTTGAATCACATAATGAGGCTAAACTCATCCCCTGACACACCCTGAATCTGAAAGTGGAGAGTGTTGGCCGTCACGTGAGGGTGACGTAGCCAAGTGCATAGTGCGGAAGCAAAAGAGTGAAAATACGAGGAAATAAAGTCAACATGATAATTTACAATAAAGAGATCAGTGAGTGCTAGTGACAAACACGGAGGGAAAAAGACAAAGTAAAAGTTCAAGTATCCTAGGTGCAGTCCAGAATAAACAAACACTACACAAGTGATAACTAGAAAATCCTAAATGGAGGGTGCTTTGTCAGAAATCCCTCGATGCCTCTATCTTCACCCACATCCTCATTGCCTAAAACCTGGAGGGACGCAAAACAGAAACGTGAGTGGGCAAAAACAAAGTTATTTTTCAAACCATTTCAATATCAAGTAATAACCCCCTCTCGGAAAACCTGTATACTTTCCAGAAAATATTATACATACTCGTATATCAAATCATGCTAAAAACGATAAAGCTCAAATATGCCATGTCAGAAATATGCCGTGCCAAAATATCTGATCAACAATATAAGCATCAAGCAGGTGAGATACACACAAATCATAATATGTTGATAATATCAACACGTTAGCCGAAGTCATCTAAAGTGACCTGTACGGCTGAAATTATAGCTCCTCAACCATTATCCTGCACACGAGTCGGAACCACCTATAGTGGTTTGTACGACAGGCTAGGTGTAAATAAATACGCTATAGTGCTACGATCATGTGAAAGTTGTGCGAAGTATCGCAAGTCACCTGCGAGTCGGAACCATCTAAAGTGGTCTGTACGACAGGCTGGCACTTGTCTTGGATCCAAGGGGAGCATACGATGGAGGAGGTGAATGATCACGTGAAGGCTAACCCCTACTCTAGCGGAACAAAATCACCGAGGTGCAGGACTATAAGCTATATCTCAATCTCATCAACACCACATCTATCACTAACAATATACTCACCTGACTTACATGTGCGTCCACGGCACCAAAGCATACATATATGCAACTACTAAATGCATAACTAAATATGCAAACACTATGCATGGCATTTAAAAAAAACATATAAACATTTAATTCCATTTTCTGGAAAAATTCTCAAGTATATAGGTATATACGGAAAACCAAAAGCCCACTCACTGATACGTAGAAGGATCGTAAGCCCCGAGCCTCAGGTGGCTGCGCTCGTCCTTCGAATAGTCCTCACCTACATGCGAAACAATTATAAAAACGTCAATTTAACGCACATAACCAACCTTAGATCATAACTTCTCATACATTGCTCAAATGGGGTGTTTGAATATACCAATGTGCTCTACTCAACCTCACAAACATCCCCATATTTTAAAAATAATTTTCTGACCTCCCACGCGCCACCACGCACCAGCCAAGGCATGGCCAAATGCACGGGCACGTGCCTGGCACGCGTGTGGAACCCTAACGGCGTTAGGGAATATTCCGTTAAAACCCTAACAGATGTTAACGGGCGTTACCTGATGCCATTAGAATATTCTGTTAACTTTAACGGAATATTCTCCTCCTTCTCTGATGAGCCTCGCCGGTCGTCGCCGTCCGCTGTCGTCTGCAGCTCGATTTCTCGCTGGAAAACTGGAAAAACTTCAAACCTTAATATCTTCTTCATTTCTCAACCAAATTCCATGAAATTGGTACCAAAATGAAGCTTACAAAGAGTAAAACAAAACCTTACCACTTTGAAAACCCAAAACCAACGAAATCTCGTCGAAAAACTCACTATATTCCGGCCAAACCTGCAACTCCTTGAAACAGGGCTTCCCGATGTCCAAAACACTTCAAAATTGTTTCCCCGAGCTTCGTGAGAAGGTTCTAAAGCTTCTTAGAACCTTAAAAACTTCTAAAAACCTCATGATCACATGTGCATGAACAGTGCACCAAAACTGGGTTCACGGGGTCTAGGGTTTTCGAAGGTCTCACGTCGATTTAAGGGTATGGATGAGCTCCTGAGCTCACAAGGAACACAAAGGTAAACTCCTTGACGTTGATCTGTGACAGTAGAAGGTAGTTTGAAGTTCGTCCGTACCTTTGCAAGGGAAATGGGAGAAAATGGAAGAAAATTTGAGAGAGAGAGAATAGAGAGAGGGTCCACGGGTGTGAGTGTGTGTGGGTGAGGTCCAGATGGCAGCCCACAAACAAAACCAAAACAAACCAAACACCCTATAACACGAAATACGTCCACGGGCAAAATCGTCATTTCACACTAACAGTACAAAAATTGGGACAGGCTGTCACATCCCCCATCCTCCTTAGTGTGTAGACAATACTGTTTGTAAAAAAAAAAAAAAGACAAAAAAAAAAACAACCATTTGACAACTTATTTAATCACATTATTATCCGCGTGCGAAAAATCTTTATTATAATCGGCATTACACACCTCTGAAGATGTTTTAAACGTGTTTAAAAATAGAGAAATTGAATCACATTATTGCTAGCCTATTGTACGGTACTAATTGAAAAAAAAAAAAAAAAAAAAAAAAAACTGTACCAAAAAATTAATTATTAAACAGCACTGTTAAAAAGACAAAAATGCCCCTATCATATTTGATGCATTATTTTGGGATGTTTTTGAACTTTTTTTTTTTGTCTTAAGGGTATTTTTGTCCAAATATTTTGTTAAAACTTGATGATACCAAAATCACTGTTTACCTTTTGTGTTGGTTTTATAAATTAGATTGTTTGTCTGGTGGGGTAGGACATCTTGGATCCTTGACCGGACGGTATAGGCTGGTCAAAGATATGCAATCCGGCACACGAAAGGAACGCGTACGACCGCGCTTTCATCCCTCTATGTCGGCTGCCCTATTGTTAACCGTTAGATGTAACTCGCTTCAATTGTGGGACCCAATTTGGGTTGCCTGTTTTTGCCAGATAAGGACAAAAATTCAAGTCACCTCCCCTACATTTTCCAAAATTCCACTTTTAAACCCCAAAGCTTGAATCTGCAAAAGGACCACAGTCCCATCTTTTTTGTTACAAAATCCACCCTTCTTCTCAAGGGACAGGCCATAAATTTATTTTCATATATGTTTTTAGCTATAAATAACTTCAAAAGTGGCTATGTACGCAGTTTGCATGTGGTTTTTCATGGCTATATTTGACAAAAATTAAAGAGAATTCCTCTAAAAAGGAAAGAGTAGGAATTTGGAATGGGATTTGAGGATCTTAATTTTTCTTTTGTTTGGCAAAATTTGTTTGGTTCAACCCTTTTGGGCTAATTAAGTAATAATTTCAATGTAGGATCATTAAGATCCACACATTTGACTATTTGGTTCACCGTTCACGATCATATAACTTAATTGGAGTTGAGCATTACTATTACAATACATGTATTGAATGAGTGCAATTTATTATACCAACCACACGAATTTCAAAAATTCAATTTATCTTATTACTTGTATTCTAATAGCAATGCTCGGCATTTAACAAATTAAGGATTGTGAACAAATCTATTCTCGGCAGAATCATGCCAATCCCTTTACATAATTTGGATAATATATCCAAGTCTATTCATTTTTAATTGAGGAAAAGAATTCGTATGGAACAACGTAAATAAAACAAATATTTGAGTTCAGTG